GAACCCAGTCCTCTGACTCAGTCCAGTGCAAATTAAACATACATTAAGGCAGAATTGTTACTCATAATTGTTTTTTGGTTTTTTTGAGTTGGAGTCTCACTCTGTCGCCCAGGCTGAAATGCAGTGGCACATTCCCGGCTACTGCAGCCTCGACTTGCTGGGCTCAGGCAATCCTTCCTCCTCAGCCTTCCAAGTAGCGGGAACTACAGGCATGCGCTACCACACCCAGCTAATTTTTTTATTTATTGTGGAGACGAGGTCTCACCATGGTGCCCAGGCTGGTCTCAAACCCACAGGCTCAGGCAATCCTCTCACCTCGGCCTCTCAAAGTACTGGGATTATAGGCTTGAGCCACCACGCCCAGCCACTCATAATTGTTATGAGATTAAGCTCTTCAGATATCTTGCCCATTATACAATGTGATGCGACCCTGCTCCTCATACAGAAAGTGTTTTGCTAGCTCATCTCATTAGTATTAAGACTCTCTGGAATTCTGGTTAGCCCACAGCTTCCCTGAACACTTTCTGTGGAAACCTCTGGTCCTGCTGCAATCAAATGGTATTTAATAATTTGAAAGAAAGATACATCAAAAAAAGGTTACATCCTGGATATTCAGTCATCAAGGGATTACTATCTTCTTGCCCCTCCAGAGTGTTCTCATTGATAAAGAGACTGAGAGTCGGCTGAAGTCTGTGATTAACACTACCTTGATTGTCACCAACATCCCCTACATCATCATGGCGCTGGGTGTACTCTTTGGCCTGGTTTTCACATGGCTTGCCTGCAAAGGGCAGGGAGCCACGGATGAGGTCAGTACCAGAGGAGGGAACTTCTTCCTTGCTAGACAACTTTACCTGAGGGGCTCCTCAGCTGGGTGTCACTGAAGGGCTGTCAGCTGCTCACGAGGGTGGGTTCTGGTGGGCAGAGTGATTTCATGGCTGTTTTAACACAGGACTAGATGGGAAGCAAGGGGGGTGTGTCAAAGAAGGCAGGGGGACAGAATGGTACCATGTAGTATTTGGAGACTGGAATCCCTGAGCGGATCCCCTGGGAGTTAACTTTCCATCTTTGAAAACAATAACCCAAAAGAAAAGAAAGAATATGTAACAGCTAGGCACTTGGGCTTTTGTGTCAGACTGCCTGTGTTCAAATCCCAGTTTCTGCCACTTAACAGCTGTATGACACTAGAAACTGTGCCTCAGTGTCTTCATCTGTAAAATGGGATAAGAACCTCCCTTGAG